GACTTTATGTAATACTAAGTTTTGTGAAGACTCTTTAATGGTTATACCTAATTGGCCATCTATCTAGTCTTTCTACAGTTTAAGAAACTGAGTCCGTAAGAAATCTAAGGACAAACTCAAGGTCACTGGTTGGCTTCAAGGCACAACTGAGGATTCAGACCTCTAATTCCCAGTGTGATTCTCTTATGTGTTTAACTAGATGGAGTTCATTTTGACTTTCTAAAAGTCAAGGGTCATGTTATGAATCCAATCACATTACATATTCAAAACAGAGAAAAACTAAGCGACCTCTTTTTGAATGCTAAATGTGCCCATGCAAGGAAATTACTCAGTCATTGCAGCCAAAGGAAAGTCTTTTCTTCCATACTTTTTGATGGCAGTTCATTACATTTTACCTCCAGGCTACTTGCTTTCTTTTAGCAAGATCCATTACATATAGTACTTTCATAGTATGTTGGTGGAAAATAGGCAAAAGTATTGCATTTAGATATTTCTCTTAAGGGTTGAAACATGGTTTGCACACATACTCATTCATTCACAAACACCCGCCTAGGAGAACGTAGTCCTGGGGCGGAGAGGCGGGGGGAAGCTTGAAGGTATATATTTTAACCGATCTGGAACCTGAACCTTGTGCTAGTGAAAATGTACAGGACACACTGGTAACCCATAGCAACCTCATTCTTCAAAGTAGCTGTTGATGTCAAAAAACTAGGGCACCAAAGTCTAATAATTACAACTCCAAAGACAAATGAAGCCACAGCTAGCAAATGTCACTTACTGATCATGATGTCACTGCAAGGTATGCACTTGTTGTGATGAAACAAATATAACGTAAGGGGATACAGGGGCTTCTGCCTGTATCACATTCTATCTTCCATATCAAGATTAAAAAAAAAAGCTAAAGTAGCCTTAGTGACACGAAAAGCTTCAATTTAATGAAAGATGATTATAGTGCAAGAAAAATTAATCCTCATTTCTCCCATCTTTTCCTCCAGAAAAATGTTATTTTCTACAAACTAAATATAATCTTTGAAAAATTAAAAAAAAAATAGTTCCAAAGGGGCATTTCATTAAATTATGGGTGCTACAAAATGGATTTCTTATTTAACCTGATAGAAGGCGATACATTGTGTTGCATTAGAACTCTTTCAAATCCCTCTGATCTTGTAGAGCTTTTAAAGCTAGTGAGCACAAGATTTCCTCTAATTTAATATTTCTAGAAACGTTTTGAATGTAATGTTTGAACAATAATGAAAAGAAACACAAGAGTGTTTTTTAATAGCTTAAATGATGTTAAGAGAGGACTCTAAACTGCACCTCTGACCATTTTCAGAATCTGGAGAGAACACAAATAGACACTAAAACTTAAATATAAAACACCAAGAAAAAAACAAAAAACAAAAAAACAAAGTTGGTTGAACCTACGCCTCCCAACTCAGTTTGTTGCAAAATCAATGATGACCACACAGTTTTTATAATCTGGGAAGTGCTGTTTGATTTCTGTTCTTGCTTTTGTTTTCTCTCCCAAAGCTTAATTGGAGCCAAAGGTTACTTTGGGGGAGAAAACGGTCAAAGAGTAACTAAAATAGAGACTGAGGAATTTAAGGATACTTTATCAGGTTTGTATTACTTTAGTTTTTTTAAAAGAATATTTCAAGTAAACTGAATTTGAAACATTTAATATAGACTCTCAACAAAGACAGATATTCCATAATATCAACTCTTTCTGTTTCTTTATCCTTGTTGCTGAGAGGTAATAAAATCTTTTGTATAATTAATGGTTTAGTAACCTAATACCATTATAGTACCTAATCATAAAATATTAATAGTTTCTCTCCCCCAAGCCCCATTTTTTTCTGGCTCATAAATTTGGTACTAACAACAAACAAGCTCTATTCATTAATACTCATCCGAATAACTGCATCTGGTCAGTTTATTTAAAGGGGGCACAATTAGCATGCATCCAAAGACAATTTAGAAAGTTAAATTTGAAAGTAGGTATTTACGTTCTTTCAAGAAATATTAAACACAAGCCACTCGACAAAAGCATGGAAGTTGGCTGATGTTTTCTCTACACCTAAGACGAAAAGCTACATCCTGTCCATGGATTTTGATCAATCGCCCAGATACCTGGTTTACATGAGGCCGAAGTTTAAAACACCGAAGAGCTTTCAAGTATTTCACAGTATGGCTGCTTTGGTGCAGCATAACCAGACCCCATTCAGGCACTTTGAACTCGTCGACATCCAAACACCCTGAAGACCTCACATCTCTTCCTTAGGTTTCGACCAGTGATTTAATTAAAACCCCAATGAGCCAGGATCCAGACAACCTGAGCCTTCATGCACCGGTATGTGAAAGAAAACGATAGATGGAGGGAGGTCAGGAAGGCGACTGAGAAGAGGCTCTCTCTCCACAACGGGGCTTATTTTTTCCAAGAGGGAGATTTGTTGAGAGGGGCTCAGATACAAACATAGAAGGATGTATAGTTTGAATGAAAGCCTTTCAGGTGAACTGGTATCTCCATCTCCCACCGATCGCTTTCATGTTGGAAAAAAACAAAAAATATAAACACTCTGGGCTTGAGAGAGCAAAAATAAAGATCGCTATGTCACTTCGAATGGTTATACACGCTGGTTTCAGGTTCAATCCAGGCCAAGAACAGTAAAACCCATCTGGAGAAGCACTCTAAGTTAACTTCACGTTATACCTAACTTATTTATCTGTTGTTTCCCACCAACTTCTGAAGCTTTCTGCTTTCAAGCTACAGAAATCTCATCCAAATGCTTCACCCTGTTTATTCCACCCATGTGACATCCAGAGGCAATTCGAGGTCTGTATTCTTATTTTATTATTATTATTTTTGTTATGCTAATACTCTAAGCGTCCAGTTGAGAACAACTTCTCTTTCTTAACTGACCAATCCACTGGGATTGTCACCTTGGAGGGCTGGGAGGCAGTTAAATCTTGGTGGTTCCTGGTTCTGCAAAGGGGCTACTAGTCAGCCATTGGACATTTTGGACTGCTTAGCTGGGGAGAAGGAAAGAGGAGAAAAGAAAAGCTTTTAGGGCCTGGTAAATGCATGTTTGTTGGGTTGAGTACACAGCAAGTCAGAGCCTATTAATTTCCAAATCAACCACTGGGCTATGACGGCAAACTAAGCTTATAGTCACAGCAGCAGAAGAGGGCCCTCTAATTTACGGAAACCATCCTCTGTGATGAGCTCCAGATCCCCTGGACAACCTGCGAAAACTCTGAGGCTGCAATGATGGTGACAGACTCATTTAAACAAAAAGAAAAGCAATTAAGCAAACGGACTTGACTGAGAAGTAGGAATTCTCTGGCGAGCTGCTTCAGCATTAACTCTGTCACACAGCCTACCTCCTAAGTAGACCTAAGGAAAAACAACAGTAAACCATGCTTGATGACACAGGCCTGGGCCAAAGTGGGGGCCATGCTGTACTCAAGGAAGAAACATTCCATTACAAGCAACAGTTTTTTAAGCAAATCTAAAAGCAGATAAGCACATCTCCTGTGTGATGGGGATGCTACTTTCTACCCATAAAATGAAACCTCTGGCCGTAGCTGAAGGTATAATTTTAGAGCTCTCAGAGATGTTGAACAATGGCTTATGCAAGAGTAGAAAAGGATGGTCAAAAATATTGTTTCTGGCTTACCAGAGATTTTAGAAAACTCAATAAAACTCAATAAAAGATTATTTCAGACTTTCTTGTAGGTAGCAAAGTGAACATTCCCTGAACACAGTACCCTTTGCTTCCCCACAAAACCCAAAAAGCAAACAGCGCCTGCCCATATATTTTATCATTAGTTTTCAAACGCTTTATTATCTACTGGTATAAAGATTCAAGGAAACAATATTTCCTTTTCTAACTTTTTCAGCCTAGCTAACAGCAAAGAAGAATCTAAAGTGGCATTTTTATGAGGTCCTTTTCTAAGAGAGTTGATACCATGGTTAAGTGGTCTGGTTACTAGGATTACATTTGTGGTTGGAAAAGTACTCCATTCTAAAAAAAGTGAATTCAACATGAACCAACATAAATGTGCAACTCTGAGGGTGTCTGGGAGCCACGGCTCCATCCAAATCCTAAGGAAGGACAAGAACCACTGCCCATGGTTAAGTCCCTAAGAGGATTAAAAGCCTATTTACTGTCACTTGGTTGATAAAGATGCTGCTCATCAGTCCCATCCTAAAAGCAATAAACAATCGCCCGATTTTATACTCTCCCAGGTAAAGACTTGTAAACAGAAAGAACTAGTAACGAACGTTTTTCTTAAAAGAAAGTTAAATTCCAGTAACACCTGCTATTGTAATACATTCCATATTTAAGGCAGGCCATACGTGGGGGGGGTGTGTGCATGTCAGAGACGGTCAATGATCTACTAACTGAAAGCCGTAATTGACAGAATTCCCATTTTGTAAAATTAAAACAACAACAAAAAACCCCACTGTTTTTAGATCTTAGAAATAAAGATTCCAATTAATGAACTCATGACCAAGACAAATATTATGAGACGTAAGAGGAGATATATATAGGGAAAGAACATACATATGTAGAGTTAAATGTTTTACCATTTCTGATTATCAAAAGGCTAAGTATATTTTTAAACCACACAGTGAGTATAATGACAAGTTTAGGAAAGACCACCATAAATACCATGTTCAAAAACCAATTGCTCCATGAGAGGCGATGGACTCTGAGAAACAAACTGAGGGTTCTAGAGGGGAGGGGGTGGGGGGATGAGTGAGCCTGGTGATGGGTATTAAAGAGGGCACGTACTGCATGGAGCACTGGGTGTTATGCACAAACAACGAATCATGGAACACTTCATCTAAAACTAGTGATGTAATGTATGGTGATTAACATAACATAACAAAAAAAACCCCACACAAAAAACCAATTGCTAGTTTATTAAAAATGACACACAAAGAATTCCAGAACCAGAGTACATGTTTCACAGCTATTGCTTTGTTTTCTTACCTTGGATGTTGTACAGTCGGACCCTATGGGTAACATGTTCCAAAAAGCAAGTCACGTCTGAGTAAAACCTTCCACGTTGCACTCTGACAAAGGGCAGTGTTGTGTAAACATAAGGCTGAGGAGGAAATGACATTTTTAAGAAAAAATTTCAGCTTTTAACTTTTCCAAGGGATGTTTATTATCATTTCCCAAATGGCAAATACATACCACCTGATATTTGCAATCTCAAGTGAAAACAAAACCTTACAAGGTATCAGAACAGGCGCATGCTATAAAAATGGAGTATAAGGTTTTTCATTAGACAAAAAGTGCTGAAAATAGAAAATAAAAATGTTTACAACTTGACTGGCCTAGGTGATCTACAAACATTCCCTCCCAGCTATAAAAATTTCTAATTAGGGCGCCTGGGTGGCTCAGTTGGTTGAGCAACTGCCTTCGGCTCAGGTCATGATCCTGGAGTCCCGGGATCGAGTCCCGCATCGGGCTCCCTGCTCTGCGGGGGGTCTGCTTCTCCCTCTGACCCTCCCCCCTCTCATGTGCTCTCTCTCATTCTCTCTCTCAAATAAATAAATAAAATCTTTAAAAAAAAAAAGTCTTAAAAAAAATTTCTAATTAAAACCCTTCTATATTGTCCATGTGCTATTTATTAGAAATACCATTCATTCTACAGCAGTGACATTTTCCCAGGCAAACGTTTATTATAACCGTGGCCCCCTAATGTTCAGGGGTCGGGCAGGTGGCAAGGATGACCACAGGGAGTCATCTAAGCAAACAGAAAGCAGGATTCAGAGAATTGCTTAATCACACTTAGGTTTACTAGTCTATAAAACACACTGCCCTTTTACTAGAAAGAACTGAATATAAAGCAAATTTACAAACTTGAAAAAACTATGGCAACCACTGGTTTAAGGTTTCGTCATTTCGAATCTAGTTGTCAAGAAAAATCAGGAACAGAACATACTTCTGTGACATAGGAACACATTGAAAGCATTTATGAAGAATTATATTTTCTCTTTTTTTTTGAAGGAATTATATTTTCTTAAGCATTACAGGCTGCAGAAGCTCAACAATGGCATGACGAGCTAGGCTTGCATTGCGAACTACTTAAGTAGCATCAGATTTTCAGAACTGTGAAATTTTCTTCCAAATGTACCTCTCTGGTTCTAGAAAAAATATTCTGAAATTAATATAATGCATTAAGAGTTTACAAAGTTCTTGGACCTAATTTTACCATATAGCTAAAAAGTAAGGGAAGAACATGAAAGCTGGCATGGGGATTTCTGGGCTCCTACCTGTTTCTGATGCACCCACCTGCCTCCCTGATAGTCTTTTATTTTCTCTTTGTAAATATATGATAATTCTCTTGGTTTTTTAATTTAATATTAGAGCTATTTAAAGATAGAATAATTTTAAATAAATTAGTCACAATTGCCCATGCATAATATTCCAGAAGTATTGTTATTTTTCATTTTTTCTTTGGTATAAGAACAGTCAATCAAAACCAAATTCCTGGGGTGCCTGGGTGACTCAGTCGGTTAAGCGTCTGCCTTTGGCTGGGGTTATGATCCCAGGTTCCTGGAATCAAACCCCACGTCGGTCTCCCTGCTGAGCAGGGAGCCTGCTTCTCCGTCTCCCTCTGCTGCTCCCCTTGCTTGTGCCCTCTCTCTGACTCTCTCTCTCAAATAAATAAATAAAAATCTTAAAAAAAAAAAAAAACAACCCCAAACCCAAATTCTTGTCCAATTGAGAACAGACTGATACAGCTTATACTTAGGATCCACTACCCTTCCTAGAACGGCTACTATGAGCTGTAGTTTACCTTTAATTCCTCACTGATTAAAAAAAAAATCGAAACAACAAAAAACTAGACTCCTTAGAACGGTCAATGCTATTCTTTAAAATCTATTATTTGGGGCGCCTGGGTGGCTCAGTCGTTTAGCATCTGCCTTCGGCTCAGGTCATGATCCCAGGGTCCTGGGATCGAGCCCCGCATCAGGCTCCCTGCTCAGCGGGAAGCCTGCTTCTCCCTCTCCCACTCCCCCTGCTTGTGTTCCCTCTCTCACTGTCTCTTTCTCTGTGAAATAAATAAATAAAATCTTAAAAAAAAAAAAGTCACGTTCTCCATCAGCTAAAACCTTATATGTATTACAGTGCACTGGAGCTTAAACTGAGGGAATGCCACACATCAATGTTTGTATCCTAAAGGCACATGCACAGTCTTCTAACGAGGTAAGCACTAAGAACTGGTAGTGTATTCCCCAAATGCTTTCTCAGGATGCATAAAGCCATTCTGTTTAAAGCAAAACAAGACTAAACACAGTAAATAAGTTTGGGAAACATTGGGTAAAGCAAAATTTTAATGTTTCAACAATTCATCATTGTGGGATTTCCCAGAGCCTCTAATTTTCTAACATGCCCGTATTTTATTATCACTGAACCGGACCATCACTTAGAAATCACAGTTTTCTACTCTGGTATCATTACTACTGTTTCAGGCAGATACTATCATGTTTGTCAGTGAAGTTTGATCTATACATATGGGCCCTCATACTTACCCTTTGTTCATTTTTTTCTCCTACCTACCTTAACTACAACATAGAAATAGGCAGAATTCTAAATATTTCTGTAACTGATCTCATTACCATTTCTTCTCTTGCACATAGCCCCATTATCCACTTTTAGGCTGAACATCCATCACAAACACTGTCCCCCTCTAATTCATTTTTTCATGCCATGATTAGAATTAACCTTCAAATAGCCATGATGTATTCTTGTTCTCCAGGTGATAATTATATAAACATTCAATCTACTGTTGAGAGCAGTACTCTAAGTAAGAATCACCTTTAGATGGCAGAAGAGAAAGCTAGAAGGGTCTGGACCCCTGTCGGCACTGTAGAGCTGCTATACCTGAACTGGGGACCTGCAGACTTCTTCCACGTGGCATAAAAATAAGTAGGATAGGATTTATTCAGTTTTAAGTTGTTATTACTAGCAGCCAAATGCAATCCTGAACTCATACACTTGTTCACAGGGACACTTCTGCCAACATTTGAATAAACAGTCAACAGTCTAAGAACAAGAGAGCACCCAATGCTAGCTGCCTCTTTGTTTATAACTCTCTAACTTGTGTTTTGAAATTTCCTACTTAAAATGTCTATGCTAATGACTTGATAATTGTGTATGACTTCTCAATGAAGTGTGAAGTGCTCGCAAAGCAAATTTACAAATGTCAAGTATAATTTGAGAATTATTGTCTTTTTTCTCTAAGATGCAATTTTGTATGGTGATGTTTTTATAAGCTAAAAGCATAACCAAACATATGGAGGAACTAATGACAGCCCTTCTGGAAAGGTTATGAGATAGAAAATGTTCAGTTGCAAAAACTCAATGACCTGTACCCAAGTCTCTTTCAATATGGCAGCCAGAGAGAGAGCAGGTAGACAGTATAGGAGAATGACTTCTTCATTTCCTCTTAGGAACTCTTTTCTGAATATAAGCCTCACTTTTAAATTCAATAAACCAAGAAGACAGGAGCAGGTGAAAAGGAAAAAAATGGAGGATCTGACCTTATTTTAAAAAATGCCTTCTGTGGGAGAAAAACCAATTATCATTATCAGCCAATGAATGTTTTCCATTTTAAGCCCAGCTCAACCTCAACAGATGCCAAATACATTTGCCACAAGAAAACTGAGAAGATATTCAAGATGCTACCATGAATATATTTTCAAGGATTCAAGTCAACTAATGAAACCTCAAGAATTTGTTTTTCAAATATCTAGAAAGGCAGTCAAAATACTATAACTAAAATTTTAATTAACACTTATAATGATTAGTGATATCAGTTGTGGATCAATCTGTAATGTTGACTTTATACGTTGCATACACTTTTAACATACGGGAGAGAGCATTTATTAAAAAAAGAGGTTCACTTCTTAAATCTGTATTATAAGAAAATCAGAGCACACTTTAACAATTTTAAAATATTATTGAAGTACACCATTTTTGATAGGAAAAAAATCTGGAAGAAATAATAACTAAGCCATAATGAAATAATAGTCAAAACTCCTTCCCCAACATAGGAATCTCCTCTACAATGATCCTAATGAATGGTTACCCAAACTAGGGCATGATGATGGAAATCTCACTATCACAAAAGGTAAGCCTTTTGATTATTGGGAAGCACTATTTACAAAGTCTCCTGCTGTTCTGAGCTAAAGCCTGTACTCACTGTTTCCAATCCTGCAATGTGAAAATAACTGAGCTTCCCCTCCCTCACTCATCTCACAGACCTTCTAAGAGTTGAAGATGGTTTTGATATCAATACCCAAGCCAACCCTTCTCATCCCAATTCCTTATATCATCTATATATGTCAAAGTTTCTAGGTTCTTCTACTTCCTGGCTAAACTCTAGGCTGAGAACAACTGGATATGAAATAGGATGAAATTAAACTGCTATACAATCAAGTATGGGTCTTTATCTCCTTGGATTACAGCTATGATTTATTTGATACCAAATCCCTGGTCAACAAGGTAACCCCAATTACCACATTATACTTGGGAGAAAACAGAATCAGCTTTATAATAATGTTTTACTACTCCATTTGCAGAAATGCACTGCAATAAAAAGTTAGGACAGCTAGTACATTCTCCATACAATTCTTGAAAAATGCTTTGAATATTGATGTTGTTTTTCTATAGCAATACTTATAAGGGATGTCATTATTGATATGGTCTGATGTACATTAACAATTTCATCAAAGATATAAGCCTGTGACCCAAAATTAAAAAAAAATTGTTTTATAATCACTTTTTAATAATTATATTACCTGGTACCATAATCCACAACCACCCAATCTTTTGCAGTTCCTGTGATAGCATCATGATGTTGAAACAGTCCCAAATTTCTTCTGGCTTCTGTCAGTGCCATGTAATGGGATGATGAAAGAAATTTACTTATCTTGTATTTCTGAGCTTGTTTCAGGGCGAAATAGTAAAGAATTTCAGCAGCCCTAATTGTATAAAACAGTCATTAATTCTTATTTCAAAACAAACATTTACTATTTAAAATATGTGGTACTGATACAATTTTTAAATGCATTTTTTAAAAAATCCACATTTCAGCACAATTGATAAAAAAGATATTGATAATAAACATTCCTATAAAACCATCTAGGTATCCATCTAATATATCTAGATTATCAATCATCAGAGAACATCATGTCTAAATTGATATAAAGGACGCTTGTTCTAGATGGTCCTGGAAAGAAGCCAGTACCCACTGGCAGCGAGATAGGTGTACTTATGTATAACATAGTGGAAAAAAAAAAAAAAGCTCGAAACAGCAGTAAAAAGTGGATAATGGTTGCTGCCCTTTCTTCTCTCCAAGATCAGCCCAGACACATACCAGGAACTTCATCACCAGAAAGCCATTCACTCTCACATACATACATTAAAGGAGAGACGGTGCAGAAATGGTCACATGAGTGGGAGACTAACAGTGAAGGAGAGGCAGAAAGCGATGGCCTGACAGCTCAGTGACAACAGCTAGTCTCTGTGCTGAATGAGAACATTCAACAACTAGAGGGAAAGTAACAATATAAACTGAAAGGTGATAAAACATATGCTGTCGCTTCTCGTTTATTTTAAAGAAAAAACACTTGGGCTTACGAGTAGTTTTTGAGCAAGAATATGGGGACTTATCATTTTCATGCTTTATTTTTTTCATCAGAGGATATGGTTCAAGACAGGTTTCGAAAAAGTTCTTTAAAAAAGAGATATGGCTTGGGGTGCCTGGGTGGCTCAGTCGTTAAGCGTCTGCCCTCAGCTGAGGTCATGGTCCCAGGATCCTGGGATCGAGCCCCACATGGGGCTCCCTGCTCCGCGGGGAGTCTGCTTCTCCCTCTCCCACTCCCCCTGCTGCGTTCCCTCTCTCTCTGTGTCTCTCTCTGTCAAATAAATAAATAAAATCTTTAAAAATAAATAAATAAAATCTTTAAAAAAAAAAGAGAGATGGCTTGATGAAGTAAAAAGTTTAAGAAGGTTCTTTATGCCAAACATATTAAGAAGGATGGAGAGAAAACCAAGGCAGCTTGAAAATGTATCACAATATAAGGAAAAGGACAAATTTAAAGTACTCAAAAAAAAAAAAGAATTGTTTTAAATTTTGAAATAATTAGAAGATACTAAATAATCTCTGCCTTTAAATTCTAATCTTTCTAAAATTCATGGCAGGAGAAACACTAAGTTTGAATTAAAGAAATTGTGTATATATGTCCATCTATACCCATAGCACATATTCCTGGCTTTGCAAAGAGTACCTATACATATAGATATCCCAAAATGTAAAAAGGGGGTTTAAAAAATATTTTCTTCTTTATACTCCTCTATCCTATCCAAATGTTTTACAAATGAGCATCAAGATGAAATATCTATAATCAGACAATAAACTTATTTTCAAGTAAGTTGATTACATTTTGAAATTTGTCATTATTATATGGTTTTTTGTCATTTTATTTTAAAGCAGAATTTTCAAAATATATTATTACTCACACTAAGTACTTCACCTTAAATATGTTCAATAAATTAAAATTGAATCAATATTTGTAACTCTTTGTCACTAAAAAATAGTTGACACTTTTAAAAAAGTGCAGTAGTCCAAAAGAATCTCTACATTACTTAGTACTTTCTCTGTTTTTATCATAGGTAGTTTAGAGTAACATAATAGAGAATTAATATTCTATTGGGCAAGAATGCATCAATCTCTCTAATATAGAAATACTATTTTATTACAAATACAGGAATACGTATCCATCTGGCACATTTGTGAATATCCCAAAAAAAAGGCAAAGGTCAGGCTTTTGAAATAATGCTGACAGCATGAAACAGTAAAAATAAAAAAAAACACACTACTATACCAAAGTACAACTCTGGGAGAAATTCATGATCTTTATAAAAGGGCTTTCCAAAATGTACTATTTCTACCAGTACGGAGAAGAAGGTAGATATAACATGACTTTTTATTTTTAATACTGAGATTCATCATGAAAATTAATCATCATGAATTCATGATCTGAACTAAGCTGAAAGTGAACTCATCCTGAAAATGAATTAAGCTCCCACGCTACACACACATAGAGAGAGCCCCAGGAGCCCCCAGGGTGGTTCATCCTTACCAAAAAGCAACAGGACCCACAAAGATAGCTACTAGCCACGTGTGATTATTTATTTACATTTAAATCAACTCAAATTAAAGGAAATTAAGAGTTCACTTCCTCAGCCACACTGGTCACATTTCAAGTGCTCAACAGTTACATGTGGCAAGTGGCCATACTAAACAGTGCAGAAAACAGAAACAGAAGATTTCTACCACTGCAGAAAGTTCTGTTGGACAGTGACTGAAAGTTCTACTGGACAACGCTGGTTAGAGCGTTTTTGTTTTCTCCTGACTTTTCTGCTTTCTCCCTGTCACTATGCTTTTTCAGCCAATCACTCTGCCGCCATCAGTTCTCATCTCTTTCAAGTTTTGCTCTTCTAAGCAGAGAATCACACCTATAGAAATATGTTTCAATAAATGAGAACTGAGGTGGAGCCTCTGAAGTTCTCCCACATATAAAATACATTAGTTTTAGATTGTGTACTTTGAGGCCCACATTTTAGCCACAGAGAGGCCCTGTTTGTTCCTTGTGACCCTTGCTTGTTTCCAGCAATTTAGTCTGTCTGGCTACTGACCTGCAGACACACATAACAATGCCACTGGATATTATCACGGTGTGCAAACAATACCAGTAATTAATTAGAAACATATAAAACATAAGATACAGGAGAAAGTCTAATCAGATAAACTGCTTTTTTCAGAACAAAAGCCCATATAATAATCTGATTATGCACTGGAGACATAGCTCTGATTGCATTAAAATTTCACAATTACATTAAACACATCCCAATACTGCATACATGTTGTATATTATGCAAAACTCTATGCTATGCTATGTGCTATGATCACATAAAAAAGGTGAATAATTAATGTAGCTTTCTAAACGTAAATTTTGTACCTTAGATGGGATTCCAATATCCTATCCATTCGTTTGTAGAAGGGTCTGGATGTAAAATAGCCGCTCCAGTAATGATCGTCTCGGTCAGCATAAGTGAAAAAATCTCCACTTAGAACAGGGAACATGGATTGGCTATTCTTTCTAATGGTTACATCTTCTTTATCCAGTGCATCAAAATAATCTGATAAAGTCCCAAACTGTATCTAATAAAAAAAAAAGTGACACTTATTCATCTCTACCTTAAAATTACTTCTAGCACTAAAAGGAAAAGTTAACAGTAAATATTTAAGATGCGCTTTCCAGTTAAGATGAAATTCTAGCTCAGATTTTACAAAACTCAAAAGCAGGGGGAAAAATATACAGTAGCTCTTTCACTTGCATCAGGTCCCAAAGTAAACTAAAATAAAACTTACACCCCTAAGCAGTTAGAAGAACTACTGAGATATACAAATCTGTGGATCTGAAAACACCTTACCCATCTCCAGAATTTCAAAGTGTGCAAGGGTCAGGGAATAGAATAATTCAGAGATGAATAAAAGATGGGAGGAAGCAGCAAAAATAAAACATTTACATACAGTTTGGTTAACCATTAAGTATTTTCATATGTCATATGCACATACACTCCCCTGGCCTCCCCATCCCCCTTGCTTGAGCTCTCATAAGGGAGACTTTAAGAACAGCAGGTCATTAAAAAAATGGACTTGCTCTACCAGCAGGTAACATTGAATAGAAGTAAAACACAAAGAGTGACAAGAACTGCAAGGTTGACTGCTCAAATGAAAAGGTCTTTTGACTAATGATTTAAATTACCAGAACATAAATCCATTTTTATGAGCCCAAACTATTCCATAAATCAAAGGAAAAAAGAAGTATTATACCACACCATGTAAACAGATATTAAAAGGCAGTGTTTTTAGAGATAAACAGAGAATTTAACAGGGAATGTATTTCTTTGAATATTAAGATGCTATTTTTGTTGTTTCCTACCACACACAGATACACACACACACACACACACACACAGATACTAAAAGCTACTTTGATTCAATGTGGCAGAAAAATAATTAAGAGCAGTTAAAAACAGGGGTGCCTGGGTGGCTCAGTCATTAAGCATCTGCCTTTGGCTCAGGTCATGGTCCCAGGGTCCTGGGATCAAGCCCCACATCGGGCTCCCTGCTCTGCAGGAAGCCTGCTTCTCCCTCTCCCACTCCCCCTTCTTGTGTTCTCTCTCTAGCTGTGTCTCTGTCAAATAAATAAAATCTTAAGAAAAAAAAAAAGAGTAGTTAAAAACAGTGAGTAGCACTCTAGAAGAGTGGTTAAGAACAGCACAGAACCTGGATCCAGATAGCATTGGTTTGAATTCCATCTCTACCATTTACCTAACAATGTGGTTTTGAGCATATTTATATATTGTCTCTGTGTCTGTGTTACAGCTAAGAGGGATCTAAGTAAAATGCTTAGAAACACAACTGGGAAATAATGGTCTAAGTTTTAGCTATCATTTTTCTATTGCAAAGGCAAAATTTCAGCTGGAAACATGATGATATTAGTAAGACAAATAGAAGTTATCATGTACCTGTGACACAATAAATTTTATAACAGCAAAATAGATAATTATTTCTAAATCCTTATGTTTACATCACAGAAAAGCAATTTTCAATAATATTACCTAGTCTTATCTTGGCTTCACCAAATACAATGTATCTTGGGCAAGTTAATATATTTGTGCCTCAGTTTCCTCATCTCTAATGGGGATAATTATAGTACCTACCAGAAAATGTTCAGAGAATTAAATAAGTTAACTAAAGTGAAGCACTTTAAAAAGTTAATAGCAGGGGTGCCTGGATGGCCCAGTTGGTTAAGCACCTGACTCTTGGTTCCAGCTCAGGTCATGATCTCGGGGTCATAAGATCGAGCCCCACATTGGGCTCTGTGCTGGGCATGGAGCCTGCTTAAGATTCTCTCTCTCCCTTTCCCCATCCCCACGCCCCCGCACCCCCAAAGTGCATGCTCTCTCTCTAAAAGAAAACGTTAATAGCAAATAGTAAGTACTCAAAAATTAAGTGTTATTTATTACTCACTTAACACATTCTAAGAAGCAGAATATAAGTGTGTGTGTATAACCATGAGGGTCACAAATGCAAAGAAATACAGCATTAACTTCAGGCCCAATAGTACAGACAAGCTCAGGGAAGTATACTGATAAAAGTAAAAAATATTCAACAATCTAAATTTCTGACTCACTTTCTCATCTATATAAAAAGGGATTTCTATGAGATAACAAAAATTCCCTTCAGTTTCAGATTTTAGGGAACTGTGGCATGCTACAGAGTTAATATTCACAACAAAGTATACCCTTTTAGAATATTGTAACTAATTTTTGGTATTAGCCAAGATGAAAGTATTTCCTTCTTGGCAATTGCCCCAGGCAAAGTTCATTTAAGTAGCCTGGTGAGCATTCTCACAAATTTAATTCAATCTCAAAGGACTGATATATAATCCTGTATCTATCCTAGAGTAGTTTCAAAAGAAATTATTTAAGAGTGAATTTTTCTATAGTCTCTTGGTAGCTCAAAGTACGTATTCCAAATAACCAAAAAAAAAGGTAGATGTTTTTTACTTCAAAAGGCAACAAATTATATCTTTAACATAACCTTAATCTTAAACATAATCAAACTCCTCTATCAGAGCAACATATGAGAAAAATACATAAATTGTTAAATAAGTGATGACCAATGGGAAACTGACTGGCTTGGTTGGTACAATGTCAATTTTTTAGCCATCTAAATTCAATTGCTTACTTGGGTTTTTCCTTTCATTAAAAGAAAATAATAAACTGAAGCTTCTGGCTTGGACAAAATAACTTCAAACATCCTACAGAGAACAGATACTAGATAAACCACAGAGAGAAAAAAAGCTTTTGTTTGAAGGTATCTAAGGACAATCAAAGCAGCCGACACTTGAGTGACAAAAATTCCAGAAAGAAAGGAAATGCATGAAGGTTACTGGGTACAAGGTTAGAATGCAAAAGTCAAGTGTATTTTTATACATGGAATATACCACATTCATGGATGGCCTAATATTTGTAAAGAAGTTAACGGTACTCACATTGATCTATAGGTTCAATGCAATGCCAATCAAAATTCCAACTTTTTTTGGTAGAAATTTAAAAATTGATCTTAAACCTATACAGAACTATAAAGAAAACCAATGCAATCTTGAGAAAGAAAACAAAATTAGAAGACTTATGCTATCAGAAATTAAGATCCATTCTAAAACTATAGTAATTAAGACAGTCCGAGACTAAATAGACAAAATTGAATAGAGTCTATACAAGAGCCACACAAATAGTTTCACTCAAAATTAATGAAAAAGATGATGCTGCAGTAAAGTGGGCACACTGGTCTTTTCAATAAATGGTGGTAGATACCCATATGGGCAAAAATGCACCTTGATCCCTGTCTTCATACAATTCACAAAAAAATCAATTCCAAACAGATTACAGACCTAAATATTGAAGGTAAAACAATAAAGCTTCTGGAGGACAGCTTCATAGGAAGCGTATTTTCATAATTATGGGGTATAAACAAAAATTTCTTAAGCAGAACATGACATGGAAAGGAAAATACTGTTATATTAGATTTAATTAAAACAAAGAATTTCTGTTTATCAAAAGACAGCATTAAGAAAGAAATTAAAAAACAGGCTCACATAGTGGGAGACAATATTTGCATAACTTTTATCTGAAGGAAGACTCAAACCAAAATATATAAAAGAGTTATAAATGGTACAAAATAAACAGACAACCCAATTTAAGGAAAATTCATCAAAAGATTTAAATAGTCACTTCACAAAAGAGGATACCTAAATGGCAATAAACTTATGAAAAGAGGTTCAATTCATTAACTACCAGGGAAATATAAAATAAAACCATCATATCGATCATAAAAAAATAAAAATGAAAAAAAAATCCTAACAAAAAATCTGAGTAAGGAAGTACAGCAACTGAAATTGTCATACAATGCAACGACTAGTGCATCTATTTTGGGATACCATTTGGCAATATCTACTGAAGTTGAACATGTGCATACCCAGTGACCAAAAATTTCTATCCCATTTTATACCCACATAAATTCACATACATGTATATAAAAACATGCACAAAATATTCAAAATGGCTTTATTTGTAATACACAAAAACTGGAAACAACCCAAATGTCCATCAATAATACAATGGACAAATCGTGATGTATTTATCAAATGGATATTAAAGATAATATACAGTATTAAAATTGAATATACTGTGGGGCGCCTGGATGGCTCAGTTGGTTAAGAAATCCAACTCTTGATTTTGGTTCAGGTCATGATCTCAAGGTCATGAGAATGAGCTTCACATTGGGCTCCGCACTCAGTACAGAGTCTGCTTGAGAGTCTCTCTCTCCCCTCCCCCTGCCCCCCCCCCCGCTCATTCAAATCATTGCCAAATCTTACAAAAGTAACCTTATTTTCCCTTCTATCATCATGGTTAGTGTTTTTTCTTTTGAAATGATACAAGAAGGAAATCTTAAGTATGTGACCCTGAGACCATGACCTGAACCAAAATCAAGAGTTGGATGCTTTTTAAAGTGACTTTACAAATTGCCCTACTGGGCAAAGAAGGAAATAGGTAAAATACAAAAATCAGTACTTTAATTCTTTAGAATGAGTGGTAGATCCTTTTATGGATCTCAAAACCATTCACTAGGAAGATGTACTTAGGGATAAAATACCCATCTGCATATGCCATCCCCTAAGTAAATGTTTGTGTATCAGCTTCATCTTTGAGGAGATTATAGAGATGATTTAAACATAGACCTAAAGTTCATAATTTGGTAGAAATTCAGTTGTAAGTATCTTGAATACACCTGGCATTTTATTTAAGTTTATTTAACTATTTAATATTATTTACATTTACTTAATAAACTTGAATTCTCCCTACATAAAATGTGACCTATCATCAGCTTTCTAATTTCCTAAACAGTAACATCTCTTCCTTTCTGTAGTATTTCCACAAATATTCTACTGTCTCATAGGTTAGTATGTGAATATAATAAACACATTGGGTAATTTTCTCATATAGGGTCTAATATAGGACTCTTGTTTGAATCCTGACTCATGAAACATATGCTTAAAAAAAAATGCCTGTATGTGATCAGGAAAATCTGAATCTATCTGGATATATGATAATATTGAATTATTGTTAATTTTTTAGATATAATAGTGGCATTATGATTGTATTTTTAAACAGAGTCCTTATCATTTAGATACATAATGAAATGGTTACAGATGAAACTACATGACTACTATTTCCTCCAAAATAATCCCTGGGAGAGGGTGAGAGAGGACAGTGAGGCACAGCTGAAGTGAGAGTGACCTCGAGTTGATCAATGTGGTAGCTGAGCTATGGATATGGGGAGGCAGGGGTCAGGGGAAGGGTACTTAAGTTGTTCTCAAAACTTTAGGGTACATTCAAAATTTTCCAAAAGGGAAACAAAAAAAGAGAGAAAGAACTACAGGTAAATGATTAATTTTGGAAGTCTTCTCAACTAAGAAAGATGCTAGTGTATTCTCTGGACACAAGACATTAATTTGCAAAATTCATGACACGTTCATCTGCATTGCCCGTCACATTACTAAAATCACAAGGATGCAGCCGTCAGAGAAACAAACTTTTGATGCTGGTAGAAAAACAGGACATCACTGAAAACTGAAGATCACAACTTAGTAGGTGCATATTTACAACTACATAAAAGTAAAGTCTCTTTAATGCTGTAGGAATGGGGGGAAAGGGACAACTTCAGAAATGCAACTATAGTACTAGATAATTTTCCTCTTTAAGAACTACACTCTTACATACAAACTACATATTCTAGGAAATATTGGGATGTGGGACAAAGAAACTAAGGCTGTTGTGTTTTAGCCTCATTTAATAATGAAGGCTCAACTTCAAATACAGTATCATAATTAAATATTTTCAAATTACCTTAACATTATACTCAGGATGAGAATTCATATAATCAAAAAGCAGCTGATAATTCTTATACTGATGATCCCATTCTATGCGTTCACAGTAGCGAAAATCATCTCCTAGTGGGGCCAGGACAACTGTAGTATGGAAGAGCTTTGACTTCTTTCGGTACTGATCTAGAAGCATCTCAGCCCTACAAAAGAAAAAGGAAAATAAGAACAGTACTAAGAAAAGGACAATGGGGCAACTCATTAAAAAGTGTATTATGTTAAAAGAAATTGTTGTATATTTTACCTGTATTCTAGGTTAGTATGATTTATAAGGCAGATTTTTTAAAACTACTATACTAATTTTCATTATCCACTTAAAATATTCATAAATTTTGGGGTGCCTGGGTGGCGCAGTTGGTTGAGCATCCAGGCTTTTGGTTTTGGCTCAGTCATGGTCTCTAAGTCATGAAATCAAGCCCCGCATTAGGTCCTGTGCTCAGCGCAGAGTCTGCTTGGGATTCTTTCTCACTCTCCTTCTGCCCCTCCCCTCTGCTCTTTCTCTCTAAAATGGATAAATAAATCTTCTAAAAAATATATTCATAAATTCTTACCAGAGAGAAAAACCCACAGGTTTCCAATGGATTATCCTTAGAGAAATAAAGTCACATACCAACTTTGACATAAAATTACTGGGAACATCAATGGCCTCCTGAAGCCCGGCCATAGACACTGGATCCCAGATTGCCTGTATTTTAAGATAATTTAGTCCAAGAAGACAATAAGGATTTCTTATCTATATAAACTTTGAAGTTGGCTTTGACTCAAGATGCCTTTCTCTAATTTGATCTAAACTTGCCTGATTACACATAAAAAAAATTAATAGTTTGAATGAAACCAATTATAGAACCTGATTTCCTCTTCAAACGGAAGAAAAACAACTCACTTAACACCTGCCATCAATAAACTGGATATCTGTCAGTGTCCTTCTCAGGGCTGATCAACAGATAAAGTTTTGGAGATCAAATAGCTTTTTTGATTTCTACCTTCCTCAGATCTAACCCATGAGTCCAAAGGTCAGCTAAATACTAAATGTGCTGATGTGTTTTTATATTTCATATTATTCTAGTATTCTGCAGAAAACCTTTGGGGTTGAACTGCTGAATGCTGAACCGGGGTACCATTTGAGGAAGTCTAGGAATACAAAGTATTTAAGAGGAATGGCTTATAAAAATGAAATTAAATAAGCGGATGAAGAACTCAGAGTAGTTCTCTATGTTTGTAATGCCAAGCTTAAGAAATCAGTGATAAATGACTAATGTGCTTTTTACCCAGTATTCCAATTTTCATTTCTAGGGTTATCGAGAAGTTCCAATTCACAATATAAAAACTTACGAAAGAAACTCAAAGACCATCAATAATGGAACGAAGTATTTTATAAAATTAAAAACATTTAACTAAATTTAGAAATTCACATGATCTTTTTATACTGATAGTCTCTGAAACTGCTTTGCAAATATTAAATTATTAGCAAAATTCAATAACTTGGTGAGTAAAATATAACCATAATGTTCTTACATAACATAGTTTTCTGAGATTAGCGTTCAGTAGAGTACTTAATTTTTACTAATAATTTACTAATATTCCACACTTAACCAAAAATAACCTTGGATTATTAGTTATAATTAAAAAAATACATGTCTAATGAGACTAATCAAATAGAAAGAAAAATAAGAGAAAAAAACCAAACATATAAATCAGATATGAGAAAGATACACTATGACTGAGCATCCAATCAGATTCCCCTAGGCAACCAGCATAGAAAAGGATAAGTGATCATTTAAATGAATGCCAAGGTTTACTACTAGATATACCATATCTTGTGTGTATATGCATATGACACATAAGAGGAAAGAATCACAAACATTAAGTGTGAGTCTTCCATTCAGCATCTGTCCTAACTCCCAAGCTCCTGCTCAGAAGGTGTCAACACGGAATTCAAGAGACCAATCTATACTACCTGGTAGAGAGTGGATATTCACTAAATACATTGTACACTAATGCCAAATGAAATGACCGATATCACACTTGAAGATGTGCAGCAGCAATCTGCTCTTCACTCCTACCAGGTTAGAAATGTCAACTTAACTAGAACCATTTGAGGGAGTCACTGTATGGATGGGGCATGGGGGGAGGGGGAGCATTGAGCAGCCGGGGGAGGGGGCCCTCGGGCGGGGGTCTTGTGTGAGGAGGAAGTTGGGTAAGGGGACCCCAGGCAGTGGTGACCTCACTTCCCTGACAACAGAGCCCAACAGAATTTGGAACCCCGGTAACCAGGCACCCACATTCCAGAGACAGCCCCCTGCCCAGCTCATTTCTTTGGAGACCCTCCAACAAAAAGCATGTTCGGGTGCTGCTTCCCCAAATCTGGACGCTGCAGGCTGAAGAAAGAGCGCCCTGCAAACACTGTCCCCCGCTGGGGATGTCGAATCAGGGCTCCCCACAGCCTCTGGCCATTTGGCCGGAAGGACAGAAAGGTGACACCAGGAGGCCCAGAGCCTGCCACCCAGCCCCACACGCTCTGATCTGCCTGTGCAGCCCCAGGCCCCCCTCCGTGTGTGTGTGTCTGTGCGTGTCTGTGTGTGAGTGTGTGTGTGCGTGCGTGTGTGTCTCTGTGTGTGTGTGTGTGTGTAAAGAGGGGTCATGCAGGGTGGGGCCACCCTGAGCAGGAGCAGGCTGATGAGGGGTCAGATTCCCAGTGGGCAGGTCATGTTCAAGGTCAAGGCTGGCCGTGTCGGATGGGGTGTGTGGGCGCTGCCCCTTCTACCCAGGGTTTATCCAGATAGCCCTGCAGGGATGGGTCACTGCATCCAGGGTGCAGGGGTGTGCACTCACAGGACTGTGTCTGATCTGGGAGCAGCAGGGGGACTGGGCAGGAGGACAGTGAGGATGGCCCGGCAGGGCTGTGATGCCTCCAGCCAGCTACCCGTCCCTGTCTTTGCAGAAGGCCACGGATGACCTCCCGAGGCGGCTGGCGGACATGTCCTCCTCCCTGACGGAGGGGTTGACCCCACAGGCATCCCCCAAAACAAGTGCTAGGGATTGCCGGGCAAGACCTCCAACACCCCCCAGACCACTGTCCCAGGTGCTTGGTCACCGGACAGTGGTCCAGGAGCCGGAGCCCACGGAGACCGAGCCCGAGGGTGAGAAGGCTGGGGCTGGGTGTTTGTGGTGTGTGGGGATGGGTCGGTGCTGGCCCCACAGGGACGAGCCCCCAGAGGCTGGTGTGGGGCCTGGAGCAACGACTGGGCGCAGAGCATCCAGCGGGTGGACTGCAGTCGGGGAGACACCCCAGGGAGGGCTCCTTCCTGGCTGCGGCTTCTCTGGGAGGCCCTGGGCTGGGTTCTGTCTCCGCAAAGGCCCACGGAGAGCGGGCTCGGGGTGAGCTTTTCTCCTCTCACAGCTGCTCCAGCACCTGAGGAGCTAGAGCCGGTTCCAACTCCATCGGGAGCTCTGGAGGGAGGGGTGGTGCCTGCAGCGACTTCAGGAGGAGACCAGGAGACGGCAGGTGACCCGGCACCCACCCACGGACAGCCTGACGTGGACCAGGAAGAACTGGCACCTGCCCCGGACCCAGCTCCTGCTACTGTTCCTGCCCCTGACCCAGCTCCTGCCCTGGATCCTGCCCCTGACCCAGCTCCTGCCCTGGATCCTGCACCTGCCACTGCTGCAACCCAGCTCCTGATCCTCCTCCTACCCCTTCCCCTGCCCCTGCCAGAGCCACTGCCCCTTCCCCTGCCTGAGCTCCGGTTCCTGCTCCTTCTCCTGCTCCTCTCCCTGCCCCTCCCAGACTCCGCTGCCCCTTCCCCTGACCCTTCCTGAGCTCCTGTTCTTGTCCCTGACCCTGCTCCTGCTCATAACCCTACCCCTGTCAGACCTGCTGCCCCTGCCCCTGCCTGAGCTCCTGTTCCTGCTCATTCTGCCGCTGCCCCTGCCCCTGCGCCTGCCGGAGCTCCTGTTCCTGCTCCTTACCCAGGTCCTGCCCTAGATCCTGCACCTGCCACGACTGCTGATCCTATCCCTCCCCTTGCCCCTGCCCCTGGGCCTGCTCTTACACCTGGCCCTGCCCCTGGCCCTGCCCCTATCCCAACCCCTGCCCCTACTCCTGCTCCCGCAGGGCTCCCAGAGCCACATCCAGAGCCCACAGCCCTGCGGGGAGAGCTCCTTGTACAATTACCCTTAGGTCCATCGCCGGACCCCGACGCCCCGCCAGATTGTTTCATCCCCTCCCCCTATGTTCTTTCTCTCTGGTTCATATTGTTCTAGTTCATATTGTTCATTTTCATGTTCTGTATACTGTTTATTATTTGTTTTAAATAAAATTACTTGTTTTCAACTGAACATATGATGAGCATAAGTACATTCCCAACGCTGTGCCACCACACCCCAGAAGATTGCTGCGGAATATCTCATGTCTCAAAGGAGTCCCCGAACCAGAAGCCCCCCTGCCCATTTCGCCCCCAGCCCATACCCTGGAAACCCCTAAGCTGCTTTCTCTCCTTATTCTTTTACTTGTTCTGGATGTTTCTGTACATGGAATCATGCAATAGGAGCCTTTGTGTCTGCCCACTTATTTTCAAAGGGGACTCGTTTTCTTCTGTTTATTTGTCATAAAATTTCCCTTATTCGATATTGAAATCCCCGATTGATTACAGATCAGATGTAATCATAGAGGCCACTTTAGGAATTATGGGCACAGGGGCGCCTGGGTGGCTCAGTCGTTAAGCATCTGCCTTCGGCTCAGGTCATGATCTCAGGGTCCTGGGATCGAGCCCCGCATTGGGCTCCCTGCTCCATGGGAACCCTGCTTCTCCCTCTCCCACTCCCCCTGCTCGTGATCTCTCTCCCTCTCACTCTCTCTCGCAAATAAATAAAATCTTTTTTTAAAAAAGGAATTATGGGCACAATCTCGGGGCAGAGACCCCTGTACCTGCTGGGACACCACAGCCTGACCCCAGACAGGAAACGGCTGGTTACTCCTGTGGCCCACACAGAAACCAGGGAAACGCAGAAAGCTGGAAGACACACCACAAAGCAAGGCCAGAGAAAGGTTTCACCTGACTCTGGTCCAAACCACGCTCCAAGTCACTGGGTTCCACAGGGATGGAGACCAAACACATGCCAGTCCAAGGGGGAGGATAGGCAC